GCAGTTTGATTCCAGCTCTGCCACAAATTTTCCATGTGTCCTTGGGCAAATCCCTTAAGGAAGTCACCACTGAGATTGGGAGCATGCCATCACAACCCACGTGGACATGCTTAATCTAGCCTTAATCTGGGTCATTTGGGCATTGATAGCAATGAACTCAGAGTGGTCAAAAAATTATAGAAGAGTGTTTTGACGCTCCCAGTATGGGTGGTGGAACACTGTGCTAGCTGACTTTTCTACAATCAGTTATTTTCCCTTAGGGTATTTCTTAGCAGCCCTAAGAAATACTGTTCGTACACTCCAGTTTGTGCTTTGCATTCAGTCTAGTAGTTTACTATACCCCAGGGAATGAAGCAAGTTATCCCAGTCAAAATGTTGCTTTGACCAAGGTGGCTATGCCGGTGCAGATATCTAGCATAGATGCAGCTCTATCATTCTGGGATCTCAGCTCTTCACCCCTCTCCCCGACTGACCTAGTTATGTATGCAAAAGTCTGTGGCATAGGCTTGGCCTTAATAAGCAAGAAGAATACAGGCTATGAAGAAAGAACTGTTACTAAACCTGTTTCTCAGGAGCAGAGGCACTGAGGTCAAGGACCTGATCCATTGCCCACTGGAGTTAGTGGCAGGATTCCGACTGATTGCTGCAGGTGCTGAATCGGGGTCTAAGGCATGTGTGCATTACATGGTAAGGTTTGATTGCAGCACATGTAAGCAGCCTTGCTACTTGGGTACCAATAGCAATTAAATTGAAGCAGCCTGCACTTCAGCACAGACTAGTTCCCAGAGTATATACCTAGGCTTGTATAGTACATGCTGAAGCTCCTTTGGCTGCTGTAGACGCACTACTATTGATGCTCAAACTACCCAGATTAAGGCTAGCTCAGGCATGTCCACATGGGCTGCGATTGCACATGCCCAACTGATGTGGTGACTTCCCGAAGGGACTTACCCAAGGACACATGGCAAATGTGTGATATAGCTGGGAACAGAACCGCACTTGAGACCTAGCCCAGTGCCTTAAGCACAAGACTGCCCTTTGCACTTACCAATGCCCTCCCCTATGCCTGGCATAACGCCATCATATTCAGTGGATGAATGTGTTCCTGAAATTTCATCAGTTTGTTCAGACTCTTCCAGTCTATAATATTACGTGATTAAAGGAATTGTCATCTGAGAAAGGCTTAAACATTAGTTACTTAGTACAAACAGATGAGAAGATATTTTATATTCTGAAAATATTTCTGAGCATTTTACAGCCTCCCAATTTTCTCCCATTTTGCAGAACTTTCAGAAAAGGGAGGGGCTTGTTCGGAGTGTCAAAACATGCACTTTCATAAGCAAATGTATCCTCAATGTGGCTTTTGCTCTAAGTAGGACCATGTCTAAACAACAACAAGATCATAAAACAGTCACTCAAAAACAACTGTAGTCTTGATTGAAAACTCATGGGAGTTCACACTTGTTTGCAAAACTGGGCCAATGTAGAGAAACAAAGTGAGAGAATTTCAAATGACAAACATTTGAAACATTTCAAATATTTTGCATAATTTTCTTTTAGTATAGGAAAATAATGATACTTGTAAAACCCTTTTATTTTTGTTTGTTGTATAAAACTGGATTATATTAAGGGTCTGATATTACAAACATGAGTAGATAGCCCTTATATGATGTAATCCCATCCATTTCAATGGGACTTTTGACAACTGTGAGAATCACTCATAAGATTTAGGGGTTTTGGGCAAGAGGCAGTTTTTCTGCAACCCATCCTGCTAGTGTGGCTGTAGTTGTGCTAGTCCTGGTACCACATATTCCAAGTTTGGGAAGCAAAGTATCTTAAACTGGCCTGAGGCATCTTTAGATACATATAACTGCATCCATGCTAGTGCTTGATTTGGTTTAAAAAAAAATTCACCCTTAACAGACATACTGATAAGCCAAGGCCTGTTTTCTCCATTTCAAATCTTGATCTACCCACCTCCTTATTTATAAACATATTTATGTGAGGAAAAAAATCACCTCTCTCCCACAAGTCCTAGCAAGACACGTCTGCCTTTGTAAACCCATTGGCTGCATTTATAAACAAACATATAACATTAGATATTTTTAAAAGATGTCAATTTTCTATTCCATTGCTTGGCGTCTGGAGTTTGTTCTCCAGGATAAATTGGTCTGTTTCACAGTGTCATCCCCGCCCTGAAGTGATGTGTGGAACTGTTATCCCATTGCATAAAGCCATACTTCTGCTATGTCACATAGACGAAAACGGACACTAGGTTATGAAATTGGCCTGCAGGAAACTTTTGGAGCCAGATGTAGGTTGGGATGGTCTTTTTTTCAGTGTTTGTACAGTGCCTGGCACAACAGGGTCTGATTCTGACGGTGAGTGCAAAGGGCGGGATCCTGCTGGCCTCCTGCACCAGGCCTCTCCAAGTAATACCCCAGGCTGTCTTGAACCCCCCAGCTAACATCAATAAGGGGGGCCATCCTGTCCATAGGAAGGTTGAGTTATATGCCACAGGCCCCCCCCCAAAGCATGGAGCCTGGGGCAGCTGCCCCGAACTGTCCTATGGATGGGACAGCTTTGTCAACATAACAGTTTCAGTACATCATACTCCAAAGAAATCCTACAAAGTGGGCAAGCAGTCAGTCCTCTTGGCTGAGATCAAGAGTTGCATCAGTTTAATATATGATTATGCTCTCTCTTGGGTGATTGTATCCTGCCTCTCTGGAGCAAGGCCTCTATTAGGCTTTGTCACCTCCTAAATTTGTCTGATCACATGTATTTCCAGCTCACAAACAAGGCACATAATGTATTTTACTATATCCCCTGGGAAACATATTTGGAGGGATGGCTGGATTTCAAGGTCTCTTAAGGAGGAGTTACAGATTTCCACCAACTAATATCCTTGGGGACCATAAGCAATGAAAGAATAATGCTTTGTCTCTGCTATATTTGAGACAGGTGGCCATTTTCAGTTTGAAACTCTCAGCTGATGCTCCCATATGCCCTAAGGATAAAGGCATTTATGGAGATAAGTTTAAACTGAACTGTCCAGTTGTAAAAAGTTGACGCCTAGCCTACACTAACATGGGCCATCAGTGTAAGCTACACAACATCAGCTATGTGAATAAAGCAGTTGAAGTTGACATACTAAGATCTACTTACTGCGGTGGTATCTTCACTGCAGTAAGTCAACAGCTGATGCTCTCTCATTGACTCCCTTTTCTGTTCTCCTTCTGCTGCAGTATCGGAATCAACGGGAGAGTGCTCGGTAGTCAATTTATCGTGCCTACTTTCTCTAAATTGATCCCTGCTGAATTGATTGATGCCCTTTGACCTGTAGTGAAGACATGCACTGATACATTGTTTCTTTGGTTTACATTGGCTATGGGAAGTCTTTCCAAACCTACACAGAACCAAAGCCGATATACTAGATGCTAAAAACTCACCCCTTTCCTGGGCTCAACATTATTAACAATAACATAAAAGTCTGCTCGAGACTGCTCTTTATATTAAGCTGCTCTTGAGGGTCTCAACTCAGGGCTTTTGGATCTTTTTGTCACCAGAATCTCTCTCCTTTTTGTTATACCAATGACTTTACAGAACCCACTTAACCCTTTATCAGCAATATCAACACCAGCTAATAAGATGAGCAGCTTCAGGCAAATGCTGCCAGAGAGTTTCACTTGCCCAAACATAGGAAACAGCTGGTAAGTTTCTAGAGGTCTTGATATTGCTTATCTATCCTGCCTAGTAAGCAGTATACAATATGGTGATTGGGATGAACTCTGTGTAGAAATAAGTGCTTATTACCTCAGACCTACAAGCTACAGTGATGCCTATCCATCTTAGCAAGAGCAATTGAGATAAATATCTAGAGCAGTGGCTTTCAAACTTTTTTTTCTTGTGAACCAGTTGAAGAAAATTGTCGAGGCTCACAACCCTACATAATTATATATTTTGACTAGAGGGCAGGCTCTGGGCTGGGGCTGGGGATGAGAGGCACAGCAGGGAGCTCTGGACGGCTTACCTCTGGTGGAACCCATGCAGCGGAGGTGCTAAGGCAGGTTTTCTGCCCATCCTGACACTGTGGTAGGAACTGTGCTCTGGACATGCTGCTGGCTGCTTCCACCTCCTAAGCTGGAGGTGTAAAAGAGGCTCTGTGTGCTGCTCATGTCTGCAGGCCCTCCCCCGCCAGCTTTCATTGGCTCCTGTGCCCAGACTCTGCTGCTGGTCACTTCTAGGGTGTAACGTGGTCTGCAGGAAGGCTGCTGATGCTCTCCAGTCAGAAGCCTGCCTTAATATCCCCTCTGGTCCCCTGGTCATTTTAAAGCAAAGCGACCTAGTGCCTGGCATTCTGCAACCCAGTACTGGGTTACCATCCATAGTTTGAAAACCACTGATCTATAGCATAATAGGCTTGTAACCCTGTAAAACTGCAGCAAATTTACCAGCATCTGGGATTATCTGCATTAGCCATGGCCAGAGGTTCTGGAAGTGGGTGTTTTGCTGCACTCCCTGGATTGAAGTGGTTGCTATCATTTACAGGGTTTGCAGTTTTGTTCATTGGCATTCAGGACTCCCACTATAGAAAATTACAACAATGCCAATAGCAGTGGATTGGAACAAACTTTGTGCTCAGGGTATCCTGAGGAGTTTGAAGAAGTGGGCTTTAGGACCCTGGGAATTCCGCCAAGGCCCAGGTAGGTCAGTCTCATTAGTCAGTTTCATTCACCCCATTCACTCACTCCCAGGGATGTGTGTGCAGTGAGTGCTTTTGCTTCCTGCCTGGTTGCTGTGATTATTCACAAGCCAGGGGACTAGTAGTGGTCTCTCTGCAATGAGGAGTATCAGGCTGGGTGGAGAAAGAGATTTCTTTTCTCTGAAAGAAAACAAGCAGTTGAGGATATTTAAGGATGAACTGCCCAGATGTGTCTTCCACTTCTACCTTTCTCTTAGGAGTCATGTGCTTGACAGCTCTCAGCAACTTTGCTAAGACTTCCTCAGACTTTTCAGGTAGGAGTGAAACTCTAATCCTTTCCAGTGTATTGATTAGAAGTCAGAGTTAGTAATAAATATTCTTTAAGAACAGCCCAAAAAAAGTGGATCCAAGCCTCTCTGAGAGCAATTCTTTGAAAATATGATGAAACAGTTCTTAAATTAAGAGGATTTCAATTTCAAGTGTTTAAAAATCTTCTTAGCAACCCCAGTTAACATATTTCAGAGATTTTTCTGAATAACTTCAGGAAATGGGGGAAGAAAGGGATTATGTAAACTTTCCTAAGTTTGTGGCATTGGATAGAAATATGTATTTCTGAGAGGGTGGAAAAGGGAAAGGTTACAGAGCTGGAAAGTATCTGGACACAATTTAAAACTAATACATCAGGAGCAAGATATTTGATTATGGTCCAGATTCTGACATCTTTGATTTTATTAAATAGTACTTTTAATCACCTTTAATAGTTAATTGCAATCAATAGGAATACTGAGAGAGCAAGATGCTACTAGCAATGGGTAAATGAATTGGAATCTGACCTTATGTTTCCTTATACAATTCTAAAAAATTACAGGTACTCATTTGTAAAGAAATCTTTATCAGTTTCACATTTTTTTCACAGCATGTATCATGAAACTTTCACAATAGTCACATGTATTGCACTTTAACATGTGAAATACTATATGTTTTATGACTATTTTATGTAGCTGTAATAGTTGCTTTAAAATTAGATTTCTGCTGCTTTTCCCTGTGGCTATGTAGATGTGTCAAAGCAGCCCCAGCCTCTAAAACAATAATGCAGATCTAATTTTGCACGAGATTAGGAATAATCATTCAGCTCATCAGTGATGGGGGCTATATTGACTCCAGAATATCTAATCAAATTGTGAATGCATTTGTGTGTTTTCTTCAAACTAAGATCCATTCAGGATATTCTATTTATAGAGTGTTTTAAAACATTTTAGTGGATGAGGGCTGCCTATTATAGTTTGTTGGTGGAAAAATGTCAGTAATGAGAACTGTGCCATCAAAAGATTTAAACTGAAGTACAGGATAGCAGTTTCAATACATCACAACATTACAACTTGGCTATAGGGAGCCCAATGCATCTGCATGTTGCAGAGGGCTTTGTGTTATAAAGGAGGTGTTTATTGTAGAGTTGGGAACTAGAATATTGTGGGTTTTAAGTCTTTTACTTAAAGTGTATTGAAGGGGCTGACCTGCCTGCGATTCAGTCTTTTTTGGGGGCAGATCAATTCTGTGGCTGCCATTCAAAGCAGATCTGCCTGTGAATGGAAAGAGCTGAGGCACTTCCAATTTATAGTGGTTTGTTCCCTTTAAAGTTTCTATAAGCCCTGAGCTTTCTCTGTATCCATCGTTTAAAGCAAGCTGGTGCAGAGTGGATGTGTGCGGGGTGGGCTGCTTAGGAACAACTGTTGAAACTGCCTTTTATATTTTAGTTCCTGTGCTGATGCTACTGAAATCTAGACACTTTACATCCCAACCAGCCTTACTGGCAAAAGCATAATGATGTACATTGTGATCTTAAGGCACTAGCATAAAGGTCAGTTGGCCCCAGCGGTAAGGGGAAGCACAAAGTCAATGATAGCAGCTCAATCAGAAAAAAAATCAATAGTATGTGGGGATGCCTGCTTAGAAAGATGCTACTCCTTTAAAAGAGGGTGTAAGAAAGTCAGTGGTAGCAAAATCATGTCTTACCAGGTACTAACAATATCAAAGCTCTACTGTGATCAGTGAAAAAGGAGGGGATAGGTCAGTGGTCTAAGCATTAGCATGGAAATGTCTAACTTTCATTCAACTACAGATTCAAATCCCACCAATGAAACTCTGTGCTTTGGCATTTCCAAGAAGTCTAATGATTATGGAAGGGTTCAGTGCGGTCCATGGCACCTGTTGTCTTTGTGCAAAGTCTCTCTTCTCTTACCCACTTGCTGTGCTGCAAGCAGTTGGATGCTGTTTTGAAATGTTGAGGGGGTGGGGAGGGCTTTTTGTCACTTGTTTTCTCACACGGAAGACTATGGAATGGGGAGCAAGTCTCACTCTAGGTATGGACAGAGCCTGTCACTTTGTGGGTGCTGCCATAACACTTCTTTGTGTGTGAAGTGCTTTGGCATCCTCTGGGTGAAAAGTACTAGATAAAGCTACAATATTCCTCCTACCAATAGCACTTCTCTGCCTCCCCACCTGCAATGATTTTACAAAGATAAACACTAATAACGGTTTCATCCTATTGCCACCATCCGTGATGGGCAGCCCTCTTGACACATCACCAAAGTTTGGGCCAAATGTGCTCTCTCTCTCTATGGAGGGATGCTGGCTGAGAAATGGTATACAATATTTATTCTTGAACATAAGGGGGAGTCCACCTGCTGCACATTTTCTTATCTTATATTGTATTATGAAGGCAAATCAGAGGTATAGATTGTTTGCTACCACCCAGAACAGGGAGTTAAGGATCTCCTGGCAAGAGACATTGGATTCTCCTGCAAAGGGAGCTGAATGTACATTTGGTCTCGCTATTTGAATACCATGGTCGCTGTGGCTGGGAGAGCAGAGCACGCAGACCTCTCTCACTGGTGGGTGGTAAAGAGCTATCCTGGGGGTTCAGAGGCAAAGGTCACCGGGAAAGCAGGGAAACCAGCTCCAGGTCATCCCCCCCTCCAGGTCCTTGTCTGAATTTTCATCAGTCGTAGAGACAAGGGACCTCACCAGAGTGACAGTCCAATATGGTCACAGTGTTTGCCCCCATGGGCTCAATGGCTTTTATTCTCAGTATCTTAGATGCCTATATACAAATGCGAGAAGTATGGGTAATAAGCAGGAAGAACTGGAATTGCTAACCAATAAATACAACTATGATATCATTGGTATTACAGAAACCTGGTGGGATGGGACACATGATTGGAATGTTGGTATGGAAGGGTACCAGTGTGATGCTGTTGCCAAAAAAGCAAATATGATTCTAGGTTGTATTAACAGGTGTGTTGTAAGCAAAACTCGTGAAGTCATTCTGCCGCTCTACTCTGCGCTAGTTAGGCCTCAGCTGGAGTACTGTGTCCAGTTCTGGGCGCCACATTTCAAGAAAGATGTGGAGAAATTGGAAAGGGTACAGAGAAGAGCGACAAGAATGATTAAAGGTCTAGAGAAGCCTATGAAGCCAGGCTTCATGAACTGGGCTTGTTTAGTTTGGAAAAACGAAGATTAAGGGGGGACATGATAGTGGTTTTCAAATATCTAAAAGGGTGTCACAAGGAGGAAGGAGAAAATTTGTTTCTCTTGGTTTCTGAGGACAGGACAAGGAGTAATGGGCTTAAAGTGCAGCAGGGGAGGTTTAGATTGGACATTAGGAAAAAATTCCTAACTGTCAGGGTGGTCAAATATTGGAATAAATTGCCAAGGGAGGTGGTGGAATCTCCCTCTCTGGAGATATTTAAGAACAGGTTAGATAGACATCTGTCAGGGATGGTGTAGGTGGAGCTTGGTCCTGCCTTGAGGGCGGGGGGCTGGACTCGTTGACCTCTCGAGGTCCCTTCCAGTCCTATTATTCTATGATTCTATGATTCTATGATTCCTCCCTCCATTATCTCCTGCTTGCAGCTCTCACCCACAGCAAGTACCAGCCATTGGGGGCCCTAAACACCACAGAAACATTCTCTCCCCTTCCCCATTCTTTATAATACAAAGCAAACAGGGCCCCTTGAGTTGCTCAGGGCCTTAAGCAATTTGCATAGTCCACTGATGCCTAGTGTGGGCTTTGCCCTCACCCCTTGAAAACCTGTGTTGTAGCCGCCTTTGTCCTGGCTGGGCTGGGCTGAATTGGACTCACATTTGAGCCTGTTCATGCTCTAGGATTTATCGCTGTTCTGCAGAGCACCAGGAAGCCTTGGCACACCCTGGTTTCCCACTCTGGGTTTCCATTGCAATTCCAACTGCTGGCCATTTGGGGAAGGAGAGCGCAGGATGGAGGTTCAGGGTGAGACGCAGGTCTCCTGGGTTGTGGAGCAGCATCCCTGTTGGGAAAACAGGCACTCACACGGTAGTGCTCCCGTGAGGAAAATGGTTATTGAGAGTTCAAATCTGTAGTCCCTGCACAAGCGAAACACACTTTTTGGCAGAGCTTGGTCTGCATTAGCACTGCAAGAGAAGGCCCTGACATATTGTTCATACTGCCATAGGGACTAAAGGCTGCTGCCTTGAGGTGGTTTCCATCATATACAGCAGTGGGGAGCAACCCATGGGTCACGGATGTCTTCCCAGGGGGGTCACAGTGCTTAGAACCGGCCAGCTGCGGGCTGGGCCCAGCAGTTGGCGGCCCCCGCGGTGCAGCGTCTACATCTGGCCTGCCGGGGGCTGAGCCTGGCAGTTGGCAGCCCCCGCAGCGCAGAGGTAGCACATCGAAAAAGGTTGTGCACCACTGATATACAAGGTTTGCAGTTTGGTTCACTGGTTCTCTGCACCCGACTGAGAGCAACGGCCCCAGTGTGCAATGAGAGACAGGTCCTGCCTGAAGAGAAATATAAATGGATAGATGAAGGGAAGGGAAGCAGAGGCCCAAAGAGACTGCGTGACGTGCTCTAGGTCATGTGAGTGATGGTGGCAGAGTTGGGAATAGAATGATGGTCTCTGGACTCCCAGGGCATCATCCTACCCACTAGACCAGTGGTTCTAAACTACTGCTCCATGGACCGGTGGCAGGCCGCGAACCTGTGTCTGCTGGGCTGCAGCATTCTGCAAGGCCATGCCTCTAGCTGCTAATGAGCCCCGCCCACTGGGGAACACAGTTCCCAAGGTGTGTGCCTGGGTGCGCACTAAAAATTCTCCTTCCACCCTCCCACAGTGAGTGGTGCTGTGAGCTGCTGTGGCTAGAGCCAGGCCGTCCCTACTGGGGCAACCTCACCACGGCCCTAGTTCCTGCTGCATAGCAGCCATGCAGCCCAGCTGGCAGGGCCCCGTGGCGCGCGGCTGCTCTGGGGGATGGGGCAACTCCGGGCGCAGCCAG